TTAGTCTGGATGACCCAACATGCGATCAGTTCTATAATAATGTATGGAAAGCTACGTCAAAACAAAACACGCAAATATACGAGGAGGTTTGTATACGTGATAGTTTATAATATACACAAACTAGATGGCGTTGATGTTTCATTTAGTACACTGTATTTCTAACAAAAAGAAAAACTAAAAGATTTCATCGCAGTTCCGTCACAAAGTATATAAAACCTACATAGACAAAGAAAATGCCATAAAAGAAAAAATACAAGACACCTTTACTTTTTTGACAGGCTATAAGACGTTGTATTTTGTGCCTTTTTGATTTTCTCCATTTTGGCGCTGACGGTAGCGGTTTATATCATTCATATATAATTTTAATACAAATTTTAGAGAAAACATAATTTTCAGGTGTTCCACACAATACCAACGGACGCAGTACATTCATTCGCGGAGCTGAAGAAATTCCAGGAGGAGCACAGTGAGACGCTATGGCACAAGGATCCAGCGCTGGCCAACCGCAAGATAGACCTCATCCAGGGCCACGTCGTGGACTTCCCGCTCGACTTCCTCTGCAACGAGACCCTCACGCCCAGGAATATCTCCATGGAAGGAATGATGCCAACCGCGCTATGGACATAACACACAAGGAAAGGGGCTCTATATGCCAAAAGTCTGGTTTCTGAGACCCGAACTGCAAAACGTGCGTGAATGCAATTCAAAATTGCAATATCTACCGAGATTATCTTAAATTATTTTTGTTATATAGTGTTTTTAAATCAATGTTTTCTATATTAGTATTATATTTATCAAACGTGCTTGGAACAGCAGGGCTAGCTGCGCAGTGCACAATAGGGAGTTTGTATGAGGGGCGTAAGGGAACGTTGGGAAACTGCGCACCTCAAACTCAGCCGCTGAAAATATTGAAACACTCTGTACATCATATACATGTACAGAGTGTTTCAATATATTCAAGTTCAAAATTAAAGATAAAACGCGATATATTTACATAATAAAGATCCTATAAAGATTTTTGCTCTTCTATCGCCCTGGGCGGTCGCCCAAACCTAAGCCCAAAGCTGGCCCTAACATTCCTTCTTAACGTATCATTTTTTCCATAGTTACCATTTTAAGGCTGAGCGCATTTTACATTAATATTTTTAATCTATCACAATATTACCACCTTTATTAAGGTCTTGTTTTCATTAATTTAGCCAAAATAAGTTAATTCAAAACAGTTTAGTCATAATATTTTCACTACTTCGTTCTATGTAATTGTTTATTTGAGCAAATATATATTTTATTACATTCCTTCTACTTAATAACATTTCTTAAACTACCTCTATTAAATTATTTTATTAATATATTTATACATTTTATGAATGATGTGAGGCTCCGAGCCCCTCCGTGGGGACGTATAGTGAGCTGATGATGATGATGATGATTGATGTGTAAGAATTAAAAAATGATAATTTAAACTATTTAGGTGATAAGTATAAAAAAAAATTGACAAATTATATTTATATAGAATTTTTTATCCTTTGAACCTTATGCTATCTGTAATTTAGTATTATTTTGTAAATACAAATGTAAGTACATAAAAACTAATGCAATTGTTATATATTTTTAGCTAATCTTAGAACTATTTCATGAAGCAAAATTTAAAGCTTCAATAAAATTATATTTGAAATGTTACGTCTTGTTAAAATATTTTTTTTTTGAAAATTTATATTTTTTTCTTTAAATAGTATAGTAAATATTGCAACATAATAAAACTACAATAAGTAATTCCAATTAATAATTTTAGTTACTTAAGAATTATTGTTGTCGATACTGTGATTCTTTTTTAAACTCATATTTATTAATAACCATGTCCAAAAAGTTCTCAAATTACTTATGAGGGTGCTTTTATGTGCATTTTATTTTTTGACTCTGTGTGTTGATGTTTGGTGACATTTATTTATTGTTTCTTAATAAATTATTTTTATATAAAAACTTCGTTTTATTTGTATTCCCTTATATTTGACTATTAATATTATAAATGCTAATGTTTAGATGGATGGATGGTTGTTTGTTTGAAGGTAGTTCTTGAAAGGCTACGGGGTTAGACAGTGCATTCGCTACGAAGCGATGCCATAACTAAATTCAATTGTAGAATTGGCAATAACTTTCGATAAGTCACGTAATTGTCTCGCGTCAGTTCAATATATTTCTGATGTTCGCTAAGGGTCGCTTTGAAGCGAATGCACTTCGTCTAGCACCTCTGAACGGATCTCGATGAAATTTTGTATACATATAGAACATAGTCTGGGAGAACACATAGACTACTAATTATATTTTTTTCAATTCCGCGCTCACGGAGTGTGGGCAACAGCAGGTATGGCAGTAATATAAACGGTGTTAATGCAAGAACTGTAATTCACTTTATATGCTTTTCCATGATAAATTTAACATAATTTTTTTATTACTCAATAGATGTCAGGCGTGAATTTGACAAAAAATAAATATAGATGGCAGTTTTTTTAACCTAATAATGAAACAGTTTCAAAAAATGATATGCTTTTCTGTCACTAGATGTCAGTATCAGTCGCCAACACAATTTTTTCGTTAAACTTGACTCGCGTCGATTTATTTTTGGCTACAGGTGACCGTAGTACAAAATGTGAAATGACCATTTGTTAAATTATGCAATATTAATATTATAATTTAAAGTAAACTTGTTTCTATACCTTATTATGCATTTTGAACAGATGTAAAATGACTGTAAGTTCAATATTTTTTTTGCAAAAGGTAGAGTAGAGGAGACTACATAGGTTACATCTAACAGTATTGAATAGCTTTGTTACCTGTTACTAGAAAGCGATAATCCATTTCTCAGAATGCGTAGTTTACGTTATTACAAATTTAGTTTGAATTTCTCGTTTAGGTTGTTGACAAGAATATTAGTTTTACTATTTCTATGCCGATTTTTTTATGTACAGTTAGGACCCTTCGCGGTGTTCCACTTACAGGTGTCTTGTTCCTTGCAATGAGATAAACTCCGCCCCTTCTTACAAAATAACCAATTAGGTAGCAGTGAGTTGCGCAAATGATGGCATATAGTAAAAATCGTGTACCCCAGACCAACCTTATTTCGTACAAACATTTTAAGGCTGGGTCCTATTGCTTTTGCGTCATTTCAAACGACCATCGCTTTAAAAGTGGAATACTAACAACTTGCTTGATAGTACCTAACTCATAATATTTGTAATGATTACATACAGATATATAATTTAATTTCAATTAATTTAAGCTTTACCAACGAATCTTTTGTCGTACGGTGAGGTTACGGGGAGGGGTGTGGGAATAAATTGCGGGCGTGAAAAAGTAGCCTAAATTTAAAAGTTAATATTTAATTCAAGAGGATGTTAAGGTTATTTGGTGGTACATGATTTATTGTTTTCATATCTGTCCTTGACAGCCACCTGTTAGATAAAAAAAAGCGTCTGGGAATCATTTATAACTTATTTACTGAACGAGATTTTTAATTTATTTTACCTTGACATTAGCATGTTAATTGATTAATTAAAATTTAACATACTGTTCAGATTTAGTCGATTCATTTTATTCATAGCTCAATTCTAGACCTACTTTTTTACTTTGGATAAATCAATCTATCTTTTTAGTAAGATACAGATGTAGACAGACTTTAGGTTATTTTTATGACAAGACATTTCTAGATTTATGTCCTAACAAATTATTCGAAAAATACTTAAAATTAGTGCTATCTAATTAAATGCAAGTAAACATTTCTTCCCTAAATATAAGTACAATAAAGAATTATAATATCACACGAGAAATTCTAAAAGCGTTATCAAGTTGTTTAGGCCTAAATGACATGCCCATACTAATGTTAAAGGTAACAGCTGTTTAGGAAAGTCGACGCAAATAGATAAAACATATTACATTTAAAATTAAAAAAAATGCAACACAATATGACAAAACAGGTATCGTTTTAGTGTGGCTACGCAAAGAACAAGTAGGAAACTTAAAAGTTTATGTAAAAGTATTAAGCCTTACTCTCCACATCCACAAACTCTATGATTAGGGGATATCAGTTTGATGATCTGAAAACTTCGGATTTCAATGATTCAATTGTCAATAAAATATGTTCAAAATAATTTTCTACTTATTCTTTAAAATCCCATTTTTGTATTGATATGCAGTTAAGTACTTCTAGGCCTTATTATTTCTTCAAAGAGTAGAAACAACTTAGTCGAAATTAGTCAGGGAATTCAAAGAAGAATATTCATTATTCTAGATATCTGGAGCTATCCATGTAGGGGCCAACAAGTTACTTATTGCTTATTGACTACATTCTTACGACGACTCCAGGTCCGAGCTCGCCTGACTGGTTGCCCGCGGAATGCGCTCGGCGGAAAATCACAACTCAAGCATACCAAAAGCGTCCACTGCTTGTCCTTGTCTCAACTATATCTATCTAGTTCTTTTGAAGATAAATGTTAATTGTAGCCCAATTTCTCGATAATCTCTATACCTACTCCTAATCAATCGCAACTGCGACTAACCAATTCCTCGGCGCTCGTTGCTCTCAGGCCCAAATAAAGAATGCTCGGACATAAGAGGGTGAGACGTGTCATTAATTTCTATGCACTTGTTCATCGGGGATGCGTGTGTACGTGTGCGTGTGCGTTTGCGTGTGCGTGCAGCGCGCACGGTCATTACGCTACGTTATTTGCTATTTGTTACGCTCAGGGCTGGGACAGGCCCGGCCCTATCGGCCTCGAGTCCTGCGTTCCCTTCGGTCGGGCATTTGAATAGGTTCGCGCGTTGCGTAATGCGCGGCCAATGACAGCGGCCGTGCACATGCACGGGGCGGAGCCGTTACGTCACCGCGCGCGCACCGCACCGCACCTCGCCGCGCTACCCCCGCTCCCGCGCAGCCGCCGTGACGTCACACCGCCCGCACCCCGCCACCCGCGACCGCAGCGCCCGAGCTGAGTGCGGCGCGCCGTGTCAACACGCGACAAAACACTCGCGCGCTCAAAGATGGCGGATGGGTCGCCTGAGCACCGCGCCGTCCGGACACAAATGAACGATTTAACTTTTTCCGCGCCCGATTCATCACACGGTGACATAAAAAAGTACAGTGGGCAAACTTTAGACGGCGGTACAGTGAAGTTATCGTTCTACAAGGAACAAGAATCGAGTGTTTCGTGTGAGAAAAGTGCTTTGAGCGGCGTGGCCGCGGACGATACCGCGGGACTCGCCGCTACGGATTCCCGAAAATTGGCTGGAAGCATCGCCGGCGACGGCGACGATAGGAAGAAACGATGCTTCGACAGATACGACAGCTCCGAGTCTTCTGACAGGTCAGTGGTGATGTCCTACAGTTATCATTATGTATGTTTTGATAGTGTCGAAATTACGAGTCAATGCTCTAGTGACCGAAGGCTGTTGTGCCGATTTTGATGTCATGGCCGTCGTGGATAACTCGCGTCGCTAGGCCTATTCGGTTGAACGCCCTCGGAATAGTTAGCTGGGCCTCGATGCGGCCTGTAATCACTTTGAATTGCACTCGCTGCGTTTACAATTGCAGAGATTGCATGTCGTCATGTGAATCTCACTATCGAAACGATTATTTCATAATAGCTGAATGATTTTGTACATATGTTGTAATTTGAATTTGATTTCATTGCTACTAATTTCACGTGGTGTATTTTACAATTTAAGATTTATGCATGTTATATTCGAAAAATCAAGTAAAGAAACTAAGACCTTTGAAACTAAAGTTGTAACTAACGACACTTCAACGCCTTTTTGCTAGTTATCATATAGATATGTAAGATAATTTTTCGTATTTAAATATATTCTAAAGGAATTGAAAAATAAAAGAAAAAACGGAAATGTTTTTATATAACATGTTATTCAAACGAGAAATATTTTAACATTTGGAGGCGAGTTATTGAACTTGACTCGAATTTCGTGCGCCGCTCTAGGTCATTATCAAACAAGTGACGTAAAATGATATGATAAAAAATAATCTCTTTGTCTTCGCCACGCACAGATGTTTATCAGTGCCGAGCAAATAGTTAATTAACTGATAAGTAAGCAAGTAGAACGAAAGATGGGAACATATATTCGAAATTTGATCTGATTACCATGAAATTGGGTTTATTTTTATTTAATCGATGTTTTTTGCGGATTTTATAGGTTGGCGAAAATTGCGGCAATTAAATGTAGATCCATTTTCGTTAGAATTTTAAAAGCAACAGATGTTTATTGTTTTTAGTTAGTCTTTAGGATACTCATGTCATAATGAAAAAAATGTACTACCCACCTAAAACCATTTAATATTCAAATATGCGATTCATTTAAAGGAAGAATATGCAGACAAGATCGGATGATGTAAGTAAAGCTTTGAATTATTTAAAATATACATAAATATTTTAAAACAACAGGAGAAAAATACGTTAATTTGAATTTAATAATAAGATTGAAATAACAAAAAACAAATAAATAAAAATTAATAGCTTAGGGTGGGTGAGTATACACATTATGTTATAGCTACTATATTTTATTCTTATATATTTAGACTCGTATATTTATATGCTGAAATTATGTTTGGTTTAGTTCTGATATGGTATTAGATAATGTGTGAAGTGGTCATTTGTGGGTCAAATGTTTTTGTCTGATAACATGACGGACTATGGGCACAAAATGTAAGATGTGGTTGCATTTGGGATTGTCCCTTTGCATTACTTTGTTGCTGAGTAAAAATTATCGTATCTCAGGGGAATTGTAGATGTTTCCGAGATAAAATGTCATACTTCACATCGTCATCTGTTTCTATGTTAAATTTAGTCTAGATCCGTACAGTCATTTTGGAATAATCTGGTAACAAACAACCATACGTGAAAATTTTATGTCTTACTAGCTGTCGCCCGCGACTTCGTTCGCGCGGGATAATAAAATAGATGTTGGTAGATTCTCAGACCTACTCAATATGCTCACAAAATTTCATGAGAATCGATCAAGCCGTTTCGGAGGAGTATGGGAACGAAAATTGTGACACGAGAATTTTATATATAAGATTAAAAATTAATTTCTATATAATTTTTTGGGAAAGTTTTTGTTCTCTAAATTCTAATGTACCTACCGACCATAAAACTTCGATAATATTGTTTTAATCACTTTAATATATGTAATTCATATTAATTATTATACACTTTTAAATAACTCGTATCTTTACACAATTTAAAAGTGTTATAGGTGTACGTCACAATAGCCGGATACTCTTTACCAAATTCAGAGATCCGGTTTGGAATTCCGGATGTGCCGACGCATATCTGTATTAGGATGGTTCTTACCTGGCTCTTTTTGTAAAATCTATTTGTATTGTATTTTTTATGACTAAAATTAGTTTTAAAATGCGTTAAACTAAAACTTTTGAACTGATTTCTTGTATAATTTTTATTATATTTTACAGTCTGTAAGTTAACGTATTAAAATAATAAGTAGGAATAACATGTACGTTGTGAACATTTGTGCGTCGTGTTTCTCAGTAAATCGTTTCTCGACGGTGGGCACTAAACGCGGTGCATTTCGTCGGACGCGTGTTTGTTTCTATAAAAATTATCAGAGGTCAGTAAACTGCGCGATGCACTTGCTGCCCCCCCGCCCCGCGACCGCCTGCAGTCCCCGCCCGCGCCATTCCACGCCCCGCTCCGCGCTGCCCCCCGTACGCGCCCTATTTGCATACATGTACGCTGCGTAGTGAATGCATTCAATATTGTTGATTTTTATCTGTTACTAAAGTTTGACTTTTTATTTTGTAATCTGATATGTCAGATTAAAATCTAGGATATCTGTTTTGTTTATAACTGCATTTTATAGATTTTTCTATGTTTTGTTAATTTCATGAATTATACCGGCTTAAAATATGAAAAAAGTATTGATTACTTATCATTTATGGAGCAGCTGTAGGTGCGTATGTCGGTTATTCTTTACGATAAGTGTGTGTCGAGGCAATCATACCCCAGTGCGTGGCTGTGTGGTGCGTACTGATAAGCCGACACTTGATCGACCTGATATCCCGATGTTGACTTGTTATCATAGGGAACGCTAGGAACTATCCAGATAAATATAGATTGTATTACATACTTTTATTATCTGTGCCTGTATTTTAATATTATCAGGGTATTATAATTTCTGTAGTTGGTGTTAGCTTCTAAATTGTTTAAATGCATTTATAAATTTCCTAAGTAGACTTTTAAAAATTTTGCACACGTAATAAAATCTTGTATAAATATTAAAACCGTGTAATACCTTTACTTGGAAATATCATGACGTATGCAGTGGTTACTTTAAAACAATTTAATTTTGTAATATAATTTAAAACAGCACTACATTTGGTAGACAGAGAGAAATGCGCGCAGATAGTGGTTATTGCGATACGGAAGACCCGTCTGTCAATAACCTACGACGAAAGGAACACTGTTAAAACTGACAACACGAGCTGCCTCCACATTGCTCACAGTTTAATAATTCCCTGTTAATGTAATGTTCGTGAAAACAAATAATAGCAAAATGAAAAATATAATTTATACAAATAAAGGTTTTTTATGCCCCAGAGAGGGTTGGCGTACAAAATGAAATTTGACACTAATGTCCCTTTATTGTAATATAGGATATATATGCATGCAGTGTAAAAGTTGTTTGCATTTAAAAAGATAGTGGCATCGTTCCCAAAGCTCGCCAGTAAGTTAGCAAGGGTTATTGATCCTGTACTATAATGTATACAGCTACGTGTCATCGTAGGGCCCGTACCTTGGCACCAGTTAACGTTAGACGTTGTTATCGACCGTGCTTAAGTTTCTAAACGCGATCGAAATCGTTTTTTCACTGAAATTGGCGCGAAAGTTGAGCGGATTGAGTTGGGAGGCAACAAAAGGAGCGGTTGTGTGTTGGCGGTCGCGGCCAGCCTGTCGCGAACCTTACTCGAGGGTGAAGGGAATAAAAAGAGTCGGGACTTCTAACAGGGCGCGGGGGGCAAACGGGTTCTTGGTTGCCGTGAGGTATGTAGCTGTCGCAATTCAAACAGAATGAGCCCTTTATTTTCGTTTAATTCGAACATTATATTTATCACTGTAATGGTCAGAGGTATCTTTATTCTAGTGAGGAATTCATTAAAGTCTTTTGCAAAAGCTAGTAACCTGTTACAATGTAAATAATCATTTTTTGCATTTGATATAAAATTATTTAATAATTTATTTTACTAGTCGTTATCTAATATTCTTAGATCTAAGATTGCATCTATGTCGTTAAGAATTAGAATACAAAACGCTTGTTTTCAACCTTTTATTTTGATGAAATCAATTCCAATATTTGCTTGGTGTTGACATCCTCACTAGCAAAATCGTTATGATTCTAACAAATTACCTATATGGCTCCATTTTCCATTAACTTATTTGGACATATCTATTTCAGGATTCTATGAATGTTGTAAAAATAAGATTTTAAATTACGATTTTTCGATTACAACTTTAAGATATTTTGGATTTTATAAAATTTCGTCTTCGAAATACTAATACGAAATAAAAATTTTAGTGCATATTCAATACGCCACAATTAACTTCTAATGTTTTTGGTGAGACTAGTACTTAATCAAAAAAGTTTAAAATATAGATATACTAACACAGAACCTACTTGTTGAATAAACTAGATTAACATTTTAATGAGTAGCTGTCTCGTAATTAAATAAATGATTTATATTTATTAGTATGAAAACGAGGCACAAGCTAGTTATAATGTTCTTTATCATTTTTAAATGACCAAATGAAATATAATTGTGTAATTATTATGTTAATGCATTGTTATTAACATATGAATATTACTGGTTTAAACCTTACTGAAATCGTACTTTTTTTTATGTATTACGTGAAACCTGGTGATCATCTTTTTCCTTCAAGGTCTCGTGTTATACGACAACAATATTATTTTGAGTGTCAATTTGGCCTTAATTTTCATGGTATAATCTATTAAGTCATGAACATGTAGATTATAAAGTACAGTGTAAGTTATATTGGGGAAACAGCTACTTACCATTGTGCGCCGGGCGACCGGTCGCCACCTCCCCCCGCGTTAGAAGCGTGCGCGGGCGCATTGGCCCTCGCCCGGGAACACGCTCGACGTGATTTGATTTGGAAACGCTTTTTTATTTTGTTACGCTCACACATAAGTCACTTTAGTCAGTCATCCTTACGCCTCACATCCCGCACAGGACGGAAAGACTCAACTTTGTAAGTGAAATTAAAATTAAAGTCAACACTTTTATTCGATTCATAAAGTTTTAAGTTCAAGGTTTAATATT